TTAATTTATTAAATTTAAATTTAAGATTTTATATAAATAATATTTTCACCCAAATTTATGATTTTATTTTATTTAAATAAAAAAATTAAATTATCAAATAAATCAAAAATCTAAGTCAAATGTTAAATCCCTTGCCATATAAGCATGACATGGCAATATTTTGCTATCCAAGCAGCCAAGTGGTGTGTGTCCTCTACGGCAGTTAAGTCAGGCCAGCAATCCCAAACGGCAGTTAAGTTGGCGTCAGAAGAAGGGCTTAATTGCTTTGATCCCAGAGTGGGCTTAATTGCTTTGATCCCAGAGTTCAAGGGCTTAACTACATCAATTAAAGTCTAGGGGCTTAATAGCGATTCTGGGGTTAGTTTAGGGGCTTAACTTATGGTTTTGCCTTTTGCAAAATATTGAAGATCAACCGCGGTGAAATGTTGGAAATGTTAAATGTCAAATCTTAGTCCCTTAACTTTGGATTTTTACTTAGTTTTAGTCTTTTAATTTTTATATGTGCTTTTTGGTCCTTTAATTATGAAAAATATATACGTTTAATCTTTTCGTCAGTTAATTCATTAAGTATGTATATATATATATGTATATTTTTAGTTTTTAAATTTTTTAATTGAAAGACAAAAATTATGTAAATTCTTAAAGTTGAGAAATTAAAAATATATATATAGATAAATTTAATAAACTAATTAATGGAAGAACTAAAAAAAAATATTTTTCATAGTTCAAAGACAAAAAAATACATAATGAAAATGAGAGAACAAAATTATAGAAAACTTTACAATTAAGGGATCAAAATTCACATTTAACCTTCAAACTACTATCAAGTAAACATTTTCTAAGTCAAGGGCACAACTTCACAATTTACCCAACATATGGGAACCGGTATACAATTTTGTGATTTGGATTTGAGTGCATCCTTCTCGAACTATGTATTGGGGCAAATGCAAATTAATCCACCTAATTCGGCCTAGGAATAATTTTTTAATCTAAAAATATAAAATCTCTCCAATTAGGGGAGCTGGACTCCTTCTCGATTGCTATCACACCCTTTTATGACAAGTATAAAACCATTTTCATTGTTTACTTGGAGCTTGGAGAGTAAACCTTTAGTATACTAATCCCACTCTCATGAGTCATAACTAATTAACTAC